CGTTCATTTACTGTTTGTACAGAGCGGGCCCCGTTTATGTAATCTTTTGTAAATTTTTACCCATTTTTTTCTCATTTTAGTAGTAATAATTTATTTTTTTTCTTCTTAGTTTTAGCCTTTTTTTCTTAAAATGTACTAAATAAATCTAACAACCACAAAAAAAATCTCCATATCTATACTTTTTTAAAAAAAAAAAAAGCTGTCGCAAGTAGTCGGATACCTCAGTATATTTAAAATTGATTTTCTCTCTCTCTCTGAAACTATTTCAGCTTGATTGGCCATTTAGTTAAATTCTCTTAAATTTCTTTATTTTTTTAAATTTTGATGCATAAAATTTTACATTTTAATACTTTTACTTATTGCAAGTAATTTATATGCCTTGGATTATAAGAATACCTTGGGTACGTATTAGTACAGAACAAAACATGGATATTTTATAAAATATGAACTTTGACATTTAAAACAAGAACTAGAACTCTCAGATCTAAATCTGTGCTAACTTTTACAGTAAATAGGTTTGAAAATATTTACAAAAATATCACAATTTTATCTTAAATAAGAGAAAAGCCTTGGGGAAAAGAAAACTCTCGAATCAACAAAAATAAAAGGCTGAAAAAAGTGCGCTTGGAATTTGTAAAAACATAGATTTTGAGACTGACAACACTCAGAAAACTTTCAATATCTTAATTTATACATGGAAAACAAGACAGGAATTTAGAACCATGTTTACAAAATATGTACAAAAAAAATATCTAAAAATATTTTGATCCTTTTTCGAGTGTTGCGAATTTTAAAACACAATTTTTTGTACGTTTGAACCAAGAACATTTTTAAGTAGCTATTGCATTTTGAAGTTGCCATTCGAAAGTTTGTTATGGGTTTTTAAAATAGCTTAAGATAAAAATAAATATGGCAATATATAAAAAGTTACGGTTTTCATAGTGTCTTATATAAATATATTGTATAAGATATTTGATTTAAAATGTGTTGTGTCTGTTTATTAAGATATTCAATTAACATTCAATGCCATTAACAGTTTTAAACACATTTGTGTATACATTTGTAATAATATTTTAGAAACAAACTTACTTTAATTTACTCTTTCATTCGTTCGCCTTTTTGTTTGTTTTTTTAGCTTGCTAATATTATACTTGCGATGTTTGATTAAGATACATCAGATCTAAAAAGAAAAAAAAATATGTATTATTTTAATAAATAATTTTTCTATTGAATTACCTAAATATATTTTATTAAAATAAACAAATTTATACTTTTGAACATTATAGGAATAAAATTATTGAAATTAGGTTGCTTTTAAAAATTGCAATTGAGGAAGTTTGAAATTTTACTAATGTTCGTAATTGGGATGGAAAAAAAAATTCAAAGCAAAATTGAAACGACCAAATATAATAAAAAGAAAATTTTCTTATATACATAACTCTAATTAATTAGTTTAATTATTTAGAATTTTTTTTGCTTGGTATTTCTTTCAAATAAGTGATAAGTGAACCTTTTCCAAAAGTAATATTCCTAAAAGTAAGAATACAGAGATAAAATGGCATGAATACAATTTTATATGTTGCAAAATCCTTGTTAACTGTTTCTTTATACTTATTAATTGCAGTACATTATATGAAATGTACTGCAATTAATAGTATAATAATTTATTCTTATTCTTATTTTATTAATTTTGATCTGAGATTTAAAAAAAATCATATTCTCTCATTTGAAGTAATATTTAATAATATCGAAGTAATACATCTTCTTGTCTTCAAACAGATACTAAACAAAACACGCATAATATTTCAATATCATTCTGAAATTTATTTTAAATGTTCATTACAAATTTTAATAATGCTTATAAAATATAAGACTGAAAAATATATAATTAATATTTTCTACTATTCTGAACAACTGTTTTGACTTATATATTTTGTAACGAAAATAATTTCACAAATAGCTTAAAATTATGTTCAATATGTATGACTATGTCATTAATACTAATAGTACCACTGAAACAACGAGAATATAAGAATATTTTAATGTTCTGCTGAGAAATATTATGAACTAAAACTCCGGGATACTTTAAAACATAATAAAAAACTTTGAAGAAGATAAATGAAATCGAGTTTCTATCAGAACTGTGTAGTAAGAGATTCAAGCAGCTCAGAAATAATATTTCGTTGTTATCATTACAATGACTCAAGACATCATTACAATGAAGTCTTCAACAGGTTATAAACAATCTTTATCTCCAATAAAACTATTTATATAAATAAAGCATTAATTCTCAATACTTCGAAAGTTTCTTCCAATCCTGTATATAAGTAAGGATATTATGCATTTTTTTAACTAACATCTAACCTACGATGTTATAGAATACAATAACAACTAAGGTACGGTATGACGTACTGCATAAATGAATAATTTTTTATATATATATTTAATGTCAAATGAACTATAATATACATATAAAATTGTTTTTTAAGAATATTATTACAACAAAAAATTATTTAAATGCAATTTTTCGGTGAAAACTGAAGAAAGAATGACATGTTTTAAAAATGTTCTCCTTTTACGAAAAATACTTCCATAGTTAAAATATTTTACATATATATAACTAATAATTCTGTACAGAACCCGAACAACACAGTGGAGAAATTTTGAGAAAAAAAACACCGATAATTATTTCAATTGGTAGCAACTCTGAAAATAAGAGGAATATTTCAAAAGTCCCAGTTCAAACTCTGTAGTAAAGTCTTAGCTGCCTACATATAGATACGATATTATTATTATAGAAGCATTTTCTATAAAAAGAAAATCCTTTGCAAATGTAATGTTTTTTTCTTTATTTTTTGCCAAAAAATAATGAATTTAAATAATTTTTATAGGAATAATATTCTTATATATATATATAAAACAATTTTTCATATGTATATTTTAACTCGAGTGACACTAAATATCCCTAAAAAATTATTCAATTACATGCTTAATATTGCTACCGAATCGCGGTTCCGATCATGCACACGCGCGTAATTACCCTCCTTGAGTGAGTGAGTTTGGTGTCTTATGGCGCAAGAACCAGTTATGGCTATACTGCGCCAAACATTCATAGGTCTGTGGTCTGGACGGGAAAAGAAGAAAAGGAGAAATTGGATGACAAGATAGAGGGTCGAAAATAGAGAAGGATCACTGGGGTACCCCGGGGTCGTGACACTAGTGTTTACTAAAGATAGCAAACCCCTTGGGAAAAGGAAAAGATCACTAGGGTACCTCGGGATTGGGACACCCGTACCCACCTAAAGAAGGTGAGCCCCCTGAAGGGTACCCTCCTTGACCTTAGCTTAAGTTAACTTTAACCTAACCTGAGTAAAACCTTAAGTTACTTTATCAAGCAAAAGTTTACTAACAGGTAAGCAACAATATAATTCACACAGTAGTTATCAATCTTTCAGATGACATTCTTGTCCAAGTTTTACGATAGCTTTCTACTTTTCTATCTATCACCTCTCTTACTCTTCACAAAAAAGTGAGTTCGTCCTTTCTCCAGGATTTAAATTCTGTTATTTCATTAATTGTTGACTTTAAGCGTAAAGTTTACATCAAGCATAAACTACTGTAAATAGCCTTTTTCTTATTTCTTTTTGCAGTTTTATTTCGTTATTGTATTTGACCAAAATTAAGCTGTATTCTCCATTTATTTGACGCAGTTGAAGAAAAAAATATTACTCGTATCTTTCGAATTATGGCTCCGAAATTTGCAAGAGAATAAGAAGTTATTCCATGTAATCTTCATGAATTATCTGAGGAGAAATAAAAAAAAAAAAAAAAAAAAAACCACCAGGAAAATGCAAATTCATTTCGGGAAAGTGATAGCGATCTTAGTAATTAAAAATGAAGGGAACTATAACAGAATTGTTTCTTAAAAATGTATGTCGGATGAAAATCCTGAAAAACTATTTCAAGACGAAGATTTCTACTTTGGTAAAGATAAAAATCACAAAATGATGCTAAACAGAATTCGTTAAGAGATTGAGAAAGAAAATGTTGAACATTGTACAAGTCTTAGAAGTATTAAAGAATTCACATAATAAAAAAAGAGAAAAATAGAGTTATACACTTCCGAAGAGAAGAGTTACAAAATTAATTGATGAAATTGTTTATTTATTGATTGTTGGTTGGCTATTTATCAACGTAGCAATCTAAACCATCGTAAGGAATATTAGAAACAGACCTTGTAATATTGAATCATAGTTCAATGTCAAGGTCATCATAAACGATACCTCTCAATCTAAACTTCCACACTACGCCAACGTAAGGACTTCAACAGGTTTAGTGTAAATTTTTAAACGGCGAATATGAAATTTTGGAGTGAGTGAGTATTTAATAGCATCGCACTAAAAGCAACACGAAAGCTATTGTTGAAAGATCTCGTAACTGTGAACATCAGTCAAGTGACGAGGACGACACCTGAATTGTTCCCTCACTCTCCTAACTTCCACACCAAGTTTACGCGAGGACTTTGTGCCACAAAAGATTTAACATGTATCATCCCCTACGTACGGTGGATCTCAAGTGGCACTAAGGCTCAAATTTATGATACACGGGACACGAATTCGTGATCACTGCCACTATTATACCACTGCCCCGGAATTCGAGAACATACGAGCACAAATATAAATAATACAAAAATATTATGTAGATCATATTTTTTTGTTTGTTGATAAACTCAATTTTCCCTTATAACTATTTTCAATTACTACTATTGGATCACAATCTCCCTATATATATATATATATCTTGTTCAAATTTTTTATCGTTGATAAAATACTCTCCATTCCTACATTCCAGTTCAAATATATTTTTTAAAACTTGTAGTGGATGCCACTTGATGTCAATACAGTTTTTTTTCAAATATTAATTTATTAGTTACATTTAAACAATATAGTAAAAAAAATAATAGTCCCGCACCTTATACAAGAAGGTAAATTGATCGTTGTGTCCCTGTAGTGCAATGGATAGCACGTTGGACTTCCAATCCAACGGTCGTGGGTTTGAATACTACCTGGGATGGCCTGATTTCTAAGAATGTGATTTATGAATGAATAAATTGTAACAAACAGAAATACTAGTGTAACACCATATATAGCATAGAAAATGGAAAATCGCTTTCGATTTTGCCATTTAATATTATGGTTCTGTCATATGTATATACAATATACAAATTTATATTAATTGTAACTATTTAATAAAAAGTAACTAAAATAAAAATTTTCTTTGTTGATCTCTGTTGGAATTGACTTTTTTTATATATATTTTACTTGTACTTTTATTATAATAATACTTTTATTATAATAATAATTCATCTGCAAAAGCGGAATGAAGGAAAACGACTAAGTCGCAAAAGTACGACACGTGTTTACCCTTGCACAAAATGAAAACGAGCCCACTGGAGAGTTAATAGCTAAACTTAGAACAACATTTTGTCTTACTAACAAGGTGCTTTTTGAAAACTTTTCGAATTAATTTAATGCAATTCTAAATGCAACTGTGTGTGTACTTCATCCTATTTATATAAGCTTCCTTTTATGACTGGATGCAAACTTAACTGGGGAAAGTGTAGTAGGCCACATACCAGAACAGTTCCTCGAAAAATTAAGTTTATTTAGGGGAAAGAGGTGTTTTAATTGAATTCCGGGCGTGTCGAAAGCAAATGAAAAATTCCACTTACTCTCCAGTCTTCACAGTGGAATTTTCTTCGTTTTTCAAATATTCAGGAATGCATTCATCGCAAACGTCCTGTTCTTCCCAAACAACCCAGTTGAGTTTTAATTCATACCACACTAGAATGGGTTAATTGTGGGGTGAAAAATACACTTCTCATTCATTCTTTTTGTGATTCGTTGAGAAAATGCAGCCTACAACTCTCGTTAGCAAATGTTATACTATTCACCCATTCTAGGAAGTTTATTTGCACTTTTAATTAAATTTCTATTGTGTATAAATTAGGAGAAACTCTTAATTTTTGGTACCTTTGTATATCTGTATGAATAAACGCTTGTAAATGTTCTATTTTTAGCATTGTAACAAATGGTAATATTTATTATTTGTTTATTGAAATGACCGCTAGATGGCGACACCATACATAGTACTAGTTTAGTTCCCCCTGGTGGGAAACCGGGAGTTGGTTGATTAAGACGGTGGATTTTCTGGTGTACGCATCGCGAAGGGAAGTCCTTCCCCACATGTTCCTGTAATTTTATATATTTATCCTAGAACTGCATAAATGTACCTGTGTACAGTAAATAAACTGTATTTAGCCCTGAAGTGAATAAATTTCCTCTAATGATCTATCCATTCATCCCAGCGTGTTAAAGTATAAATTATAATCGTATATATGCCTGATTGTAAATATCACTCCAGAACCACCATTCACGCACTTAAAAGTTCTGATCAATGCCACTTTTAATCTTGTCCGCTGATTGATAGCCACAAATATTGCTGAAATAACGGAATAAATTAACTAATTTTGTAATAGATTTTAAAAAGTTTATTTAAATATTCGTTTTAAAATATGATTTATTAAAAGATAATTATTTTTATCATTGAATCACATGCAATTCCACATCCTGCCAACGGGAGAGCTTGAGAAGTGCAGATTAGTGCTGATAATTGTACTGCTCGCCAGATGTGGAACATGTGCCATTGGTTGTCGACCCCATTTATAAAGCATTAAAACGTTACATATAGTAACGTTATAGTATATAGTATAGTTACTATTTATATTAATACTCTGTAACTCGAAGTTTATTCAATCCGTGGTTTAGTAATCATGGACCATGATTACTACGTGTTCACCGGTTTGAAAAAAAATACCCATTACCTTTGAGTTTCATCCCCAAACTTATCATAACTAAGGTGATCAACCATACTCCTTTAGGGAGGACAGTCCTCCTTTAATAGGTTATGTCCTTCCTCGAAAAGCGTCCTCCTACTTGTCCTCCTTTTCAATATTTTAAAACTAATATGTTAATCTATGTATTCAGAGATGCTGGGCATAATGGAAAAGTTTACCAAAGAAGCTCAGAATTTTTACCAAACATTTTTCCAATATGTTTTAGAATGGTATGAAACAAATATCACAGGAAATAACAATGAAACAAATATCACAGGAAATAACAGTTTTCAATTGTGTTCTTTAACCTCATTGCAAGTAAATTGGGCAGATATAGAAAATTGTGTTGAGTTCTTATCGAAAGAAATGCCTGATATTAAAATCGATGACAACTGTCTGTTTGAAGAAATTAGAAGACTGAATGTATATTTAAATTCTAATAAATTAGAGCAATTGGAAAATAAACATGCTGAAATCAATAAGACGAGTGGAAATATTAAACCATTTAAAAAGTAATATATTTCATACGAGAATTTAGTTATTCTTGTTGAATTTACGTTGTGCTGCTCAAGAACTAATGCGGCAGTTGAAAGAGTTTGTTGAGCTGGTAATGTTTTTTAGACAGGGAAAAAATCAAGATTGAATGTTGATACTTTAGCTGCAGCACTTACCGTAAAATTCAATATGAAGGATATTTATTGCTGTAAAAAAATTTCCGATACGTTCGAAAATGATATATTGTCAAAATAAATTCATTCAATGGAAAAATACTTGTTTATATAAATATTTAAATGGGATATAAGCATAGGAAGTGTATTTTTTATTTGAATAAATAACATGTTTCATGTACTTACGTTGAAATTTCTTCTTAAATTTTTTGTCCTCCTTTTTCATTGTAAAAAAATTGGTCACCTTATCATAACACGAAAACTTTTCAAATTGTTAGAACGTCAAATTCCTCTGAATACTACATTTATAATAACACAATGAGTGTCATCACATCTGCAAAAATACATTTTTTCGTGTGTGTGAATTTCCGAACATTCGTATAAGAATTCTACACACGTAATTTTACATTACTTCTTTCTTTACCCGTCTTGGTGGCTCCAAAACTTTTCTGTATTCCAACAGTTTGCTTTAGGAGCTTGTAACAAAAAAAAATATAAAGAAAGCAAAATAAATGTCGAAAAAGAGAAAGAAAAAACGAGGAGTAGTAAAAAAAATGGAAAAGAACATCAAAAAAGAGCATAAAATAAACAAGTCCTTGTTTAGTGAATGGAGACTCGTAGCCTGTCGCTGGGTTAAATAGAGTGATGGTAATGAAAATAAAAAGTTATACTTCAAACCAGTTTTTTTTTTCTCTCTCTCTCTCTTTTTACCTTACACGTACTTAATGTGTGTTCTTGATCCTCCGTTCCTGAATTTTTCTCTTTTTGTTAACCCTACAAAATGCATTTCAGGTGAAAGTACGTAGTACTTTGGAATCAAGTTGTTATTTTAAATGACCCTTATGCATAAATTTAGAATTTAGAGTAAAAACAAAACAGAAAGGTCAGTAAATCTCACTCAGTTGTTTTACGTCTTAAATTTCAAAATTTTAACCATGCAACGTGTTCTATTCTGGTTTTCTACAAATCCTCTTGAGGGAAATATTCTTTAACAGTGAATTGAGTTTAAAAACCGCTTTTCGTAGAGATGACTTGATTTTATGCAAATGTAGCTACTGTTTAAGTGCCACTCGTTGAGTTTGCGGGAAAATGGTTAAGAATAGATCGTTAAGCTGAAATCCAAGTGATAGTAAGTAGAGACTGTGGTATTCGCGTATCTTAAGATTACTATTTGACGGTGAATTAGTCAGGAAGTGGTTAAGAAACCAAACTTGCAGCTGATCGAACAAACAGGCTTCAAAAAGAATCATACAATGAGCTTCAATCAAGATAAGTAGTTTCGATAATTTAATTATCTGATTACGGGTTAGGATATTTTATTGCTTCTCCCACAAAACCCCTCCTTCTGCAAACTTCGGGCCGTGACAACCATAAAACTATTTTTAATACATTTATTTTGTGTAATCAAGCTTAATTTTTATAGTTTTAATGTGTTTCATAATAAAAGCTCAGAATTGCATTAATTGAATTGCAAGCAATGGAGTTACGTACACCCCCGCATCGCAAGGATCCCAGGATTCTAAGCTGCCCGAAGGTTATGGTTTTGCAATCCTCTGTAACCTCCAAATTGAGGCCCAAAACCTGACATTGCATGGAATGCTCTAATATTCTCCGTTACGCCACTGAATGCAAGTATATAAAAGGCTCTGGTGACTGTAGAAATAATACTCCTCGAGCGAATAAAAAATAAGAACTAAAGTTGAAAGGCAACGACTCACTAACAAGTAATATAAAAAAAAATTCAAGTCAATTCCTACTTCGTTAGAAAAACTTACTGGCGCCATCTGTTGCAGATAAATGTAACTTCATCAGAAATAACGCATAATTAATTTAAAATTTAAAAATAAAATTTAATTAATGAATTAATGTTTGATCAAGTATCAATACAAGTTAAAAATATGTATTTAAACTTCAGTGAGAATGAATAAAACGTATTTCATTGATTGAAAATTTGAACAAGATATATGTATATAAATGAATAAATATAGGGAGAGAGTGGACTAATAGTAGGAATTGAAAAATAGATCGTGTCTTGAATCTAGAGATTTTATTAGATGCCAGATTTAATTACTCTTTTGAGTAACAGAAATTGATAAATCTTATTTTTAATAATTAATGAAATGACTTTTGACCATGACTTGAGTATATGATTTGAACCATAAACTTACTGATTCCCAGAGAAAAGTTTTTCAATTGTTACGCAATCTAAGCTACAAAAGAATTATCCGTTGGTTCAGTTATGAATCACATTTACTCCTAAATCACTAATGCGCAAATTAAGATGCATAACACAAAATAAATATTCGGCCCTTTTCTCCTACGGAAGCAAATCAAAGTGCTGTTAAAAGAATTCCTGGGTGTCATTTAGGGAAGCCATTTTGGGCAATCGCTTTAATCCTCTATTGTGTTCAACGTTAGTTTGATCTATCATTGTATTAATCATTATTCTATTGACGTCATCAGCAGTCTCTAGTTGAGATGGTGGTTTATTTGATGCATGTGCCGTAGCA